TATGTATTCACATTTTGGACATGCTATGTCCTTTACAAAGAATATCAGATCGTGACTAACAAGAGGTTGCAGTTCCTAGCTTCTGCACATCGTCGTCCAGATCAATTCACTGTGAGATTTTGATATGAATTTCTTGCATTTTGCGTATCAATAGAAAAGTACATTATTTTTTTATTTTTTTATTTTTACAGGTTCTTGTGAGAAATGTTCCTCCAGATCCAGATGAATCTGTTAGCAAGCATGTCGAGCATTTCTTTTGTGTTAATCATCGTGATCACTATCTCACCCATCAGGTTTGCGCTTTATTCTACTTCAAAGTTGATACAAGATAAATTTTAAAACAAATATATTCACTTCCCAAAAAGGTTTGTAAATTATGATCCAAAGAGGAAAGTCTACGTAATTGGCGTACTTATTATCAGGTCGTGTATAATGCAAACAAACTAGCCGAATTGGTCGAGAAAAAGAAAAGTCTACATAATTGGCTTACTTATTATCAAACACGGTATGAGAGGAACCCATCCAAGAGGCCAAGAACAAAGGTATCTTTCCTTGCATACTATATGTTATGCTGTTCTGTGAATACAAATATACTCAACAATTTAGAAAAAAAAGACAATATGCAAATCTTATTGCGTAAAAGTTTATAGACAGGTTGTTGGGGCCTTTGGGGAAAGTCCGTGGATGCCATTGATCATTACACAACAGAGATTGAGAAGATAATTGAAGAGGTATGCCAGCAAAGCTGCATAAGTTCCTGAAAAAAAAAAAAATAACTTGCTTTTGTTCTTTCTTCTTTTCATTATTTAAAGATATTTGCAAAAAAGGTCTAGCTAACTTTGAAAACTACGAAATCTTCTCTTGAGGTTTACATCTGCCACACATGACAACCGTTACACACGTCCCCCTTTTTTTCCAAACATTACAAATCAGTCCACCTTTTGGTCTTGCATTTTGTAATTACATCCTCACCTTAAATANAATAAAAAGAAAAAAAAAAAAAAATAGAGTGAGACGAAGTGTTAGGGCTACTTGTAATGTTTAGCAAATTCAAGGGCATCGTAGTAAAATATTCGATGATATAGCAACTTCTTTCAATCCGACTAACGGTTGGGGACAAAATGTAATTCAAAATCAAATGTTGACGGTACTTATTGTAATTTATAAAAAATTTTCCTTTGCCTTTTCTCTTCTTCCAAATTCTTTCTTCTTCCATCTCTTTCTGTTATTATTATTATTATTATTATTATTATTATTTAATTTTGGGAATATAATAGGAAGATGCAGAAAGGGAGAAGGTAATGAGCGACCCAAACGCCATAATACCGGCAGCATTCGTCTCGTTTAAATCCAGGTGGGGTGCAGCTGTTTGTGCCCAAACTCAGCAGTCGAGCAACCCAACCATTTGGCTCACAGAGTGGGCCCCCGAGCCGCGTGATGTTTATTGGCCCAATCTCGCGATACCTTATGTCGAGCTTGCTGTGAAAAGGCTGTTCATGGCAGTTGCCATGTTCTTCCTCACCTTCTTTTTCATGATCCCTATAGCCTTTGTGCAGTCATTGGCAAGCATTGATGGCATTGAGAAGGTTTTCCCGTTCTTGGAACCGTTAATCGAGGCGTAAGTTCATTTTGTAAAAACATTTTGTGGATAATTGCGAAACGGCAAAAATGCATCTTTAGTCCTCTTGTTAGCAATTTTAGTCCCAAGGTTCCAACTTTTCGCCTTAGTCCTCTGATTTAATATTTTGCTGCAATTTCTCTCCAAATGATGCGATAAAAATAGATTTAAATTGCAACAAAATTTTAAATTGTAGGACTTAAACTGCTAGTCATAAATCTATAAATTTGAGAATTTTCAGTCCTCAAAATGAGTGAAATTGCAACAAAATATTAAATTACATATCAGAAAACGAAATGTTGGAAACTTGAGGCTAAAATTGCTGTGACGTTAAATAAGTAGTGCGAAACCGTTGATATAGGAGTACATTGATATTTTTTTTTTTTTCAGGGACAATGTGAAGTCTATCGTTCAAGGTTTTCTTCCCGGTATTGCACTAAAGATATTCCTGATACTTCTTCCCACAATTCTCATGACAATGTCCAAGATCGAAGGTCTCACGTCCCTTTCATCTTTGGATAGACGGTCGGCCGGAAAATATCATATATTTTTGCTCGTTAATGTCTTCTTTGGAAGTATCGCCACGGGAGCAGCTTTCCAACAGCTCCATAGGTTTCTCAATGAGAGCCCTTCAGAGTATACTATTTTCTCTCTCTCTCAAAATCACCTTATATGCATGTTTTCCAACTGAACTTCACTGATTTTCCATTTCTTGGGAAATTTTACAAACTAGATTATCGTAACTAAGCTAATCTTTTTCACTAGTTTCAGTTAGGCAAAAATGCATTTCTAGTCCTGTTGGTTTAACGCCATAGTAATTTTAGCCATAGTACTTTTAGTCCCAAGGTTCCAACTTTTTGCCAGTTGGTCCTGTGTTTTAATATATTTTTGCAATTTCATTCCTCAAAGGACTGAAATTGCAATAAAATTTTAAACTACACGACTGAAATTGCAACACAATTTTAAATTACAGACTTAAATTGCTATTAAAAATTCCATCCCAAGATGTAAGTTTGGGAATTTGTTGCAATTTTAGTCCTCAACCAGCAAAATATTAAATCAGCAAATTGTTAGAATCTTGGGACTACAATTACTATGACGTTAAGCCAACAGGACTAAAAATCCAATTTAGCCTTTCAGTTATCATCCCATTTCTTGAGCAAAAAGTGATGATCATCATTTATTTATTTTCAAAAAATTTCATACACTGCAGGATCCCAAAAACAGTAGGTGTTGCCATTCCAATGAAAGCGACTTTCTTTATATCGTACATTATGGTTGATGGTTGGGCCGGTATAGCTGCAGAGATTCTTCGATTGGTCCCGTTAATAGTATTCCACTTAAAGAACACATTTCTGGTCAAGACAGAACAAGATAGAGATCAGGCAATGGACCCGGGCTGTATAAGTTTCGCCTCGACTGAACCTCGTATACAACTGTATTTCCTGCTGGGGCTTGTTTATTCAGTGGTGACGCCGTTTATTCTTCCCTTCATAGTCGTGTTCTTTGCCTTCTCCTATGTCGTTTTTCGCCATCAGGTAAAATGCTCGAAAACTGTGTGAACCAAAATATAATGTTGAAGTATAGTATAGCCTAATTGAAAGAATTCCAGTAATCCGTTAAAATTTGCCTCCTGATGAATGATTTTGTATTAAGGTAATCATAAAAAGTAAACCGTGTGATTTGACAATTTAAAGTGTTTTTTTTTTTTTTTCATTAATTTTAAGAGACAACCGGAAATTTTCTCAACTATCTTCTCTATGCAATTCTCGGGAAAGTCGTGCAGTTTCCAATATTCTGGATAGAGGCAAAAATTCATCTTTAGTCCAACATAGCAATTTTAGTCCCAATGTTCCACCTTTTCGCCTGTTGGTACTATGATTTAATATTTTGCTGCAATTTCAGTCCAGTCCATTGAGGACTTAAGTTGCAACGAAATTTGCAATTACGGGACTGAAATTGCAATAAATTTTAAATTATAGAACTTAAGTTGCTAATAAAAAATCTATAAAGTTGAAAATTTGTTGCAATTTCAGTCCTCAAATGACTGAAATTGCATCAAAATATTAAATCACAGGACCAAAAGCAAAATGTTAGATTTTCAGGACTGAAAATGCCACAGCGTTAAACACCAAAAAATGCAATTTAGTCTTCTGAATATAACTGTGATCTGATAATTTTTTGCATTTTGGTTCAATATACACTAGATCATCAACGTTTACAACCAGAAGTATGAGAGTGGTGCTGCATTTTGGCCAGACGTTCATCGACGTATTATTATAGGTCAAATAATTGCACAATTACTTCTGATGGGTTTATTGAGCACAAAAGGCATTGCCCAATCAACTCCAGTGTTACTTGTACTACCCGTTTTGACCGTCTGGTTTCATCATTTTTGCAAGGGGCGTTTTGAGTTGGCTTTTGTCAAGTTCCCACTGCAGGTCAGTTGAAGGCCATTTTACTAATAACATCAAATCTTTTAAAAGAAATAGTCATTAATTTTCAGCCGATTATTATATGATAAAATGTTAAATTGCATAAACTACAAAAATGATCAGATTTTAGCCTATAGGGTGTTTTGGACTCTTCAGTAACTTTTCCAATTTTTGCACTTTTATGATTTTATTCCCTGAGCTATTCACTTAGGCTCAAGACATCTAACAAACTATCAGGGATGAATTGAAACAAATGAAAATTTAGTGGGCAAGATTTTCCGTTTCGTGTTTTTTAGAAGAAAAATATGATGTTTATGTTTTATTTTTATTTATTTATTTTTGGGTCGGGACAGGATACAATGGTGAAGGATACGTTAGAAAGGGCAACCGAACCAAACTTGGACTTGAAAGCTTATTTACAAGATGCTTACTTACATCCCGTGTTCAAATCTTTCGACCTTGACAAATCGGGTGCTGCATTGTCCATTGACGAGGCTGAGAACAATAGTTCGCTTGTCTCGACTAAGCGAAATTCTCAAAGGGGCAGTAAAGCTCCTTCTGGTGGCATGACCCCTGAAGTTAATGCATGATATCTTGGCAGAGTTTATTCTCTGGCTGTTGCTATCTTGTGCAAAGGCCCTGAACCTGCATCACAGAATGTCAATATTAGTAGAAATTTTTCATGTTTTTGTGGGAAGATTTTTGGGTGAGCAAGATATATAATTTAATTTCTTTTTACATTTATTACCACATTGTAATTGTAAATAATTTCATGAGCAATAATGGGTCTTGTGACTTGGAAGTTTTTTGTTTGTTTGTTTTTTTTTCCCCCACATTGTATGTACGTTTATCAATTGGATGGAAACAATTTTATGATTTGTTAACAAGATTTCGTTATATTTACCTACTTATAATAATAAGTAATATCATTATTTAAAATCTAACAGTTACACTAACAGATAATTATTTAAAATCAAATCCCACTTTTCTATAATCATCTCTGCAGCAGCCCCCATAGCCCGAATCCCACCTAATCCGAGTAGTTTCGAACCCATTTCCTCCTCGCCCCACCGCCTCAGCCCTGGCCCCACACTCTTCAAAACCTCCACGTCCACCTCAGCAACCCACTCTGGCGCACACCCCATCATCAACCTCAAATATCCCGTCACGTACTCCCTCCACGTCATCCCATCACACCCCAGCAATATTCTCCCGTCGAGCACCCCCGCTACAAATTCCATGTGCCACGTCATCACCTCCTTAATCCCCGCCAAAATCCCCAAAACCACGCCAGCGCGTGCCCGTTTCCACCCGACAAAAACCACGACGGAAGTATCTCTTTATACAAGGCCCGGACAGCATTGCGCCCGCCGGTTATCCAGACTAGCGAGGCTCCTAAAGAGGCCGCGGTCTTCACCCGGTCAACTGCGCCGGAAAGCGACACCTGTCCCAATCTCGGATTTTCGACTGTAATTTGCATGAGGAGACGGATCACTTGCTCGGTTATGAAATTCACGTTCCTCACGGCGTGGCCGTGGCGGACTTGGAGGAAGAGTGTGCCAGGAGCTACGGCTGCTGCTGAGCTGGCATATTCCGAGCCGTGGCCCCACGCCGGAGGAGGAGAAGCAGGCGTGGAGGAGCTGGACGATTGAGTCGGGGAAGTGGTGGAAAACGGTTTGGGAGGCGGAGAAGAAGAAGAAGAAGTCGGACCATAGGGAGGATATAACGGGCAGGCTGGGCCAGGGGCAGCCCATGCAGAGGTCACGGAGGGAAGGGCCCATTAAGTCTGAGGTATAGCTTGTCGGTGATGTGGTCTGGATTGTACGTTATCGTGAGGCTGATGAGGGCGGCTAGGGGAAGTGGGAGGGTCACGTGAGAGCTTGCGCCTACAAGTCGGGAGGATGGTTTCGAGTCAGAATAGGAACGATTGTGAATTGCTGTTTCGAATTTCGTCCCTTGTGTTTTTGCAATAAGGTTACAGAAAAGGTTATTTTCGCAACGAAAAAGGTTCCCTTCGAATTTGCGAAAAAGGATGCAATTTCGTCCTTTTATGCATGCTCGGGGACCTTTGTGCAACTATTTTTGCAAATATAAAGGAGGAAAATCAAAACAACAATTCGAGTGGGACGAAAAAGTCGGGGTGGTTTGGAGTAAGCATAAATGTTAGAGAGGATATTGCTAATTTAGTCATGTATGTTATCAATCATAACAATTTTGGTCCCCCTTCGAATGCATTGCTGTTTTGGATTTCGTCCCTTATGTTTGCAATAAGGTTACACAAAAGGTCCTCTTTGAATTTGAAAAAAAGTTGCAATTTCGTCCCTTATGTATGCTCGAGGACCTTTCTGTAACATTTTTTGCGAACATTAGGGACGAAAATCAAAACAGCAATTCGAAGGGGACGAAAAAGTTAGGGTAGTGAAATATCTATGACTAGAATTGCAATTTTATTTTTTTTTCTAAATGTTAACGTTGTTGTTTTTTTCGAAGTAATCACAATAACACAACCGAGAAGATAGTCTAGTAATTACAAGATCATCACAATTATTATGGTTGGTGATCACAAGGTAACCCTCTTGGCATTTCCCTTTTTGCACGCTACATCCTCAGATGGGGTGTTCTAAAGGTATATTATATTATACACAAACCTCAAGGGGCATCCATAAGTGAAGATGGATGGTTTTTTTCAATTATACGGTGCAGAAAGTATCCTAATTTCATCCAGAGAGATGGTCATCATGCAACACTATCATTTATTCAGGAGAAAAACTAATGTAACTGAAATAAGTATGTTAATGGACTTTAAACATAAAACTGTGCAATGGCAGGCAACAATGTAGCATACTTAATAGCAAAAAGGAACAAGTACACATCAAAATATAAAGACACACCTATATCAAGACATGGTACATCGACACCAGTGGCAGCCAGGATATTTCTTATCCGTTCTTCGACCATCGATAGATTTGCAGCAGGGCTTGGCCAGTCTGTCCCGTTCATGGAAGCATGCTTTCCAAACGTCCCGACTCACTTCTGCTGAAAAGTAACTTACAATGGTCGCCAAGGAAGAAGGAAGATAATCGGCAAGATCTTTGAGCCCTGAGACATATAATATCATAGTATTTTATCCAAGAAAAGGGGGAAAAAAAAGTAACACAGGAAATTGGGTCGTAACTAGCAACAACGGCAATTTGGAGTAAATTGCAAATTTAGTCCTGTATGTTTCACTACTCTAATTTTTCGTCCTCTTCGAATTGTTTTTTATTTAGGATGGGATTGTACTAAAATAATCTAAAGTTGTGGGACTGTATCTGTTTTGATTATTTTTATTCTATGTTTGTTATGTGTCATTGCTGTAGGATAACTTAAAGTTTAAAAAAAAAAAGGAAAAAATAGTTTTAATCAACACAAACCAATATCAATAGTGCTATATTGTCCCTAAATTTCACCAGTTTATTTTGGCCGAACTTTCACCAAAATTCATTCTCAATTTAACGCTACTCCTTGATTTTATTTTTGAATTTCGCTTCAGAACTTTCACCAAAATTCATCCTCAATTCAAGTGTAGCCAAAAGAAAAGCTGATGGTTTTTCCTTACGGTACAAAATTGGAGCAAGTAGCTTCATGCAAAAGATAGACTTTGAATGATTCTTCCACTACTGCTGAGGAGGTGTATGCTGATGTGGGAAGTCCTTCCATTTTCCGTCTAAGGTCTGAAGCGAGTTACTTTAATTTCCCCAAGGGTTCCATTTTCAGTTTATTTTTGAATTTCGTAGTTTAATTAATTGATTGTGTCTTTGATTTGTTAGTATAGATTTCCACACATTGAAAAGCAGACGAAAGAAAATTTCCCAGAGGGCCGATGAATCAAAGCCAACCATTCAGACTGGGCCGAACCCAAGTAGCAAAGATACAAATCCTTAACGAGAACTCATAACTCTGTTGAATAAACACACAACCGAGCATTCTTAAAAACCACTACTTTTCATTTTCATAGTACACATGCAACGATTGATCTTCAAAATCCCATCTCAACTATATCAACAATCTTTATCCATCATACCCCTGAAGCGTAATTAAACNAGCAATCTCCCTCGAATGGTACAGAAATACGAGGAACGCCTCCAAATTGCCAACCAAATAAAAATCACGACTTTTTTGGATTCATTAAAATACAGGCATGAAGAGCCAAAAAAGAACAAACTAGCCTCCACGAGCTTCTCTTCTAGTGGCATCGTGAAGGAGCTCGACATCAACTCCCTCGGGTGGCAATTGGACATACCTGACGACCGAACCTCTTATGAAGCAGTTACGCACAGAAAGCTGTCAGACAATATGATAATATCAATTAATTAAATCGAGGTGCGAAATATGAGATTGGAAAGGACATCAAAATTTGTTTCAGCCTAATTTAAACAGTAGCTAAACGTGGTAAAAACAGGATTGTGTATAATGATATTCCCACCAGGTTATGTGCAAGAAACTTAGGTTGTGTTTGGTAAGCATATAAGCTAGCTTATAGCTTATTTGATTAGCTTATAAGCTTCTAGTATTGAAATAAGCTATGTTTCATAGGACGAGTTTTTTTAAAAGCTCGAGCTTATCTCATAAGCTTCCTGGGGTAGCTTTTCAAATAAGTCCATTGAAATTTTTATTACAGTCAGTTAATTTTACCAAACACTTTTATGCTAGTTTTTCAGCCATAAGTCATGAGCTATCGAAATTCACTTAAAAGCTAGCTTATCAATTAGGTTTACCAAACATAGTCTTAACTAAGGTGCCAACACATAAAAACAGAAGCATCTGTTAAGATGAGGTAAAACGTACAGAATAGAATTGAAACCAAATTGCCGAACGCAGAATTCCGACACAAATTTTGCTTTCTGTGCGTAATGGATTATCAATACAGGAAATATATACACATAAACTTTATAGGACGCATAGATTAGACCCAATGAAAGCACCCAAACAATCGTCTAGGAAAGAATAATATAAATATACCTCAACTCGCAATGTTATTAAATAAACAAACTAGTTTAAGATTTAGATAATGTTCCTAAAACCGACTTATGGCTCGGGTACTTTACAGATCCAATAACTCAATCAACACAACACAACTCAAAGCACATTTAACCATCAATGCTCGGAGTTTAATCCAAAATCGCTAGCTTAACATAGATGGCCCCGAACAATAAGGAAGATTTGAACTGAGAAATGAGGTATAAAAAATACTACTAACCAACATTCCAATAACTTCCCGTCATACAAGAACTGAACTTTCATTTACCAGAAATCTAATAATACAGATACTTACACCTTATGTTCTAGTGCAGGCCACAGCACATACTGAAATTTATAAATATCAACCCTAAAACACTAATTAAACCTCAGAAACACTCTCGCATCAAATTCTTCCATAATTCACATCCCAACAGCAATAAAAAACTGATAACAACGAATAACCACTCATTTTCGAAAATTGAAACCCTAACCCTTAAAACGCAGATAAAATCGAAACGAATTACAAAGCAATTACCATGTGGGGGTACTTGTCTTGATCAACAACCCTCGTATTCTCCAACTTAATATTGAGATATTGATCAACGGAGTGAAGGGTTCCTCTGATAGCCAAATCGTTCTTCAATTCCACCGTAACTTCTCTCCCCACCAAATCCTTGAAGTACGAGAAGAACAGCTGCAAGAATGAAGCAAAACAAAACACGAGATTAACCCCAGACTATAGTAAATCAAATAAAGCTGAGATACGAGTAAAATGTATGCTTACCATTTTTATTCGCGGGGAGAGGATTTCTCGCAGAGGTTTTACTTCAAACACAAAAGTCGAAGGCGCATGGAGCTAAAAGTGCGCGTTGGAAAATATGAGTGGGATTTGCAGCAAGGTCCCCCAAGTTTGCATTGAGTACAGAAAGTTCCTTTTAATTAGGCAATATCTACAAATTGGCTAAGCCAAGATTTGGAAAATAATTTGTTCTTTTTAAATATAAGACCACATTTTTATCGATAAAGCGATATCCGTANTTTTTTTTCGAAACGACAGATATTATAACTCAAAAAAATTTATACAAAGTTCGACCACGAACAATATATCAACCACCTGGAGAAATAGAGGGACGCCTATTGCCCTAGACAATCAAACTAACAACAATACAAGAAGGAATCCCAAAAATCCGGCATAGTCAATGCTACGAATCCGAATTGTTGTAATTCTTCCCTGGGCTTAACTTGCAAAACAAGAAAGAACGACAAAAGATGATATACCACTGGGCAGAGCCCCTAGTAGACCACCCAAAATGCACTGTACAGAAACTAAATCCAACTAGAAACAAACTCAAAAAAGAAGAAGAAATAACAAAATATAAAATCCTATCACTAAATCAGAGCCAAAAGAGAATCAGTAGAGTCCCACAAATTTTTGCCAATCCTTGTAAGCTTGATCCACAATTGATTTTTCCCCACGCCAAAGATCTTGAAAAACCCAGCTATTTCTGCTCCTCCAGATACTCCAGAGGATGTAAGAGGTAATTTCTATCCTTTGTGTAGAAGTTGTGGAGTGATTCAGAGAGCAAACCTTACCCCACTAGGATTTGAAGCAATAAGTGAGATTGTCCAGCCCATCCCAATGCACAGGGGAGAGTTTCCAGATGATTTTGGCTCTAGGACAGTGGAAAAATAAGTGTTTTCTTGGGTCTCCACGGCTTCACCACAACTTTTGCAAGTAGTGTCTAGTAGGATGCTCCTTTTCTCAAGGTTACTACAGACTGGCAAAATTTTATTGTAGCAGCTCCAAAGAAAATGTTTAATCTTTATCTTAATCCTCAGCCTCCAACTTCTTTGCCTTACTGACTTGAAGAGAGAACATTTGCTGCTCTCAGGAATGTCCAATCTGAGCCTTTTGTCCTTAAGAAGCTTAGTATAGGAATCAGCCATTGTGAATTTATCTTTTGAACCACCATCCCATATGATATAGTCTGATTCAGAGGGATTAAGTCCTGTGATCCTCAATATAGCCTCAGCTTCTCTAACAGAAAATTGAGATTTGACAAGTTCTTGGTTCCACATAAGCCCTGATGCATCTATAAGTTCCTTCACCCAAGTCAGTGTAGACAGTCCATCAGCAGGTTTGCAAGGCTTGAATTTGGGAAGTTCCGGGATCCAAGGGTGATCCCATATTCGAACAGAGGCCCCACTTCTTATTTGGAATCTGGCTCCCTTCTGAAAATTCTCTAACACCTCCATCCAATTATTACATAACCAGGAGCCGGTTGTTGATCTTTTAGCTGAGAATATATCACATGAAGGGTAGTATTTTGCTTTGAGAGTCCTGCTGACCAGAGAGAGGGGATTAGTAGCCAGCTTCCAAAGTTGCTTAGTGATCATAGATTGATTCATTAACTGGAGATCAAGGAACCCTAGTCCTCCCCACTCTTTTGGCGTAGTTAAGTGTTTCCATGCTTTCCAGTGAATAGACTTGTGCTTGCTGGGGTTCTTTTGCCACCAGTGTCCGGCAATAGACTGAGCCAGCTTTGAGTGTAGCTTTTTAGGGAGGAGAAAGCATGACATGGCATGATTGGGTATGGCTGACAGTACTGACTTCACTAGAATTTCCTTGCCGGCAGTCGATAAGAATCGGTTCTTCCAGTTTGTAATTCTCTTATGCACCGCTTCTTGGATAAAATTAAAGTTTCAGCTTTGGACCTGCCAATACCCAAGGGGAGACCCAGGTATCTTGTAGAGTTATGCACTGAAATTCCCAAAAGAGTTTGGCAGATAGTATCCTTAATGGTGTTTGGAGTATTTCTGCTGAAAAAAATCGTCGACTTCTGGAGATTAACTTTCTGCCCTGTAATAATCTGGTAATTGCTGAGGATTTCCAATATCAATTGGGCATGGTGAGCATCTGCTTTAGCAAACAACATAGTATCATCTGCGAAGTCTCTAATATACAAATATTTCATGAATTTCGCGATTTGCAACTCACATTGATTTGGAGTTGTAATTTAACCATGTGAATTGTTTGAACTAGTCAGCACACTAAACCCAAATTGTTATGTTAAATTATAAAAGTATCTAAAGTACAACTATTTCATGAAGTTCTGATTTTTTAACCCAACTTATTTTAAGTCGAAACCTGTCCGTGTGGATGAGTACAAATATTTCATGAATTCTGCGTTTTCCAACCCAAATTGACTTGGAGCTGGAATTCGTCCATGTGGATTGTTCGAACTGGTCAGCAGACCAAGCGCAGTCAGATATGCTAAATTCTGAAAATCTAAAGTACGAATATTTCATGAAATCCATGTTCTTTTAGCCCAAACTTATTCTAAACCGAAACACAGCCATGTAGATTGTGCGAGACTTATTATATGCTAAATTATAAAAGTATCTAAAGTACAAATATTTCAGGAAGTCGGTGGTTTTTAACATAAACTTATTCGTAGTCGTAACTCATCCACATAGATCGTTCTGGAGTGACATGCTGAAATACTAAAGTATCTAAAGTTCAAATATTCCATTAAGTCGGCGGTTTTAACCCCCATCCGTATTCTGGACTGATATGCTAAATAGTAAATATTGAAGTATTTGAAGTACTGAGGGTGTGTTTGTATATGAAAAATCCATTTCATACTCAATTCATATTTAAAATCTAACTCAACTTTAACCGAATTTCATTATCCTCAATATTATCAATTATCAATATAATTAAATAATATCAACCAATCATTCTTACACACCACATCAATTTTAATTTACTATTCAATCTCTTACGTAATTTTGACTAACCATCACTTCACACCATATATCTTCTACTTTTACATCAAATCAACTTTAATTATTTTATTTTAAATATTATTTTAATATAAAATCAAAATTCCACTACCAACTAACCATACATTTTTTTTAAAAAAAATTTAACTCTGATTAACCAAAGA